ATACAAGCTATGTGAATATTTCCACATGATTGTAAATGGTACCTTGCAGAAGCAGTCTATATGAACAGTGGCTTATTTTTCTCCTTAAAAAAAAGATGCATTACAAAAAGGTTTCTTTTTCTAGTTGAAATTGTTAAAGTCACATGACAGGAGGTTGTTCTGAGAGCTGGCTTATGTACACGACTGTCATATAAGCATAACCTTCACATTGGTACAATTTTAGCCAAAGTGCAACCACTAAGTTGAAATGTTCTGCTTTGCTCCTCTGAGAAGAGACAAATTTCCCAAGTAGGTGAGTTTCAGTTGTCTCGGTTCTAAAATTTTTTAAATTAAATTTTTATTTTCTATATTAATTACAGTTTTTAAACTTTGTATCCCAGCTGTAGCCCCCTCCCTCATTCCTTCCCATTCACACCCTCCCTCCCTCCCTCATCTCCTCCCTGCCTCTCTCTAAGTCCACTGATAGGGGAGGTCCTCCTCCCCTTCCCTCTGACCCTAGCTTATCAGGTCTCATCAGGACTGGCTGCAATGTCCTCCTCTGTGACCTAGCAAGGCTGCTCCTCCCTTGGTGGGGTAGGAGGAGGTCAAACAGCCAGCCACTGAGTTCATGTTAGTTAGAGATAGTCCCTGGAATAGGGCTTTTAATAAACCTTTTCCTCCATGATTTCTTTTCACAGAAGGAAATATTATGCAGTTCTAGGTATATGCACATAAAAAAGCTACGCAAGTCACAAAGACGTTTGGTATACATATAGCTTTACCATTTATTAAAGATAAGACAAATTTGCATATTATGGTTCCGTAAGAGCTGGAAACCGTACATATAAGGAAAACAGTGTACTTCATAATATCTGGTAGTCTGAAGTCTCAGCTGAGGTGTTTGGAGAAGTGTTCAAGTGGACTGTGGGGTTAAGATCAACCAATGCTCTTAGCCACCGAATCATCTGTGCAGCCCCTGCTGTAATGTTTTAAAGCCTTTCACTCCTTGACTTCATAGGGTCTGCTTGCAAACTAGTAAAAATGCCTTGAGTTGAAAAGCCACTATGACCCTTAGACTTATTTCTCAACTCTTTCCCTTTTGGGTGGATCTTGACCCCTCAAGATCTACTCTGATCTAGAAGACTTCCAATGCTTTCAAATAGTTGAGTTTTAAACTTTATCTGGGATTTCTAGTTTTCTCAGAGTGAGATTTGGATTGATACTAGATAGAACAGTGGATCCTTGAAGATGTCCCTGGAAAACTCTGAGGACCCCTCATCAGATTTGTTGATATTTTCACTGAAGTTATGAAAGCAATGTTTGGAAGGGTACCTCAATGTGAACCGAGGTGTGGCACCAAACTGTACTATAGCTATACTTTATAATTTATTGTCAGTTTTCAGTTTGAATTGAAGAATATCCTTGGTATAGGATTGAGAACCATTATGTTTACCAAATCTCTAAAATTTATTTATTTATTTTTATGTGTATGGTGTTTTACTTCCATGTATATTTGGGTGTCACATGCATGCAGTACCCATGGAGATCAGAAGCAGGCATCAGATTCTTCAGAACTGGAGCCACAGATGGTTCAAATAGCCATGTGGGTGCTAGGTATCAATCTCAGGCCTCTGAAAGAGCAGCCAATGTTCTTTACTGTTCAGCCATCTCCGTAGCCCCTAGATCATTCACTTTTAAGTGTTATTTATTAGCTTTTGTGGTTATAGCCTTTGAGTTATTGATTAGTGACTAAATATTGATAGATAAATGACACGTATTTTGTTTCTACTGATCGAGGTATTGAAGCAGAGGCTGAGACTCATATCCAAACTTTGGGCAGAATGCAGGGAATCTTATGAAAGAAGGAGGAGATAGAAAGACCTGGAGGGGACAGGAGCTTGAAACAGAGCTAAAAAAAAAAAAAACCCCTGAGCCCTGGGGGCCCTGCAGAGACTGATACCCCATCCAAGGACAATGCATGCAGAGGACCTAAAACCCCTGCTCAGAGGTAGCCCATACACTCAGTATCCAAGTGGGGTCCCTAATAAGTGGAACAGGGGCTTTCTCTGGCATGAACTCAGTAACAGGCCTTCTGATCACCTCCCCCTGGGGGGGGAGGGTGCAGTCTTGCCAGGCCACAGAGGAAGACAATGTAGCCAGTCCTGATGAGACCTGATAGACTAGAGTCAAATAGAAGGGGTGGAGGACCTCCTCTATCAATGGACTAGGGGAGGGGCATAAAGGGAGAAGAGGGAGGATTGGAAGGAGATGAGGGAAGGGGACACAGCCAGGATACAAATTAAATAAATTGTAATAAATGATAATAATAAAAAAGAAAAAAGCAGTAAATCAATAAAAAAGATTTAAACAGTGGAAAAAAAAAAAGAAAAAGAAAAAAGAAACCCCTAATGTGTCCTTGAGAAAGAGAACTGACCAACCACAAACAGCTTTGACAATCAGCCACAAGATTTACTTTGGGAAGCTGCCCTGCTCCTAAAGTGCATTCCAGCTTTCGAGGACATTCAAAATGTAGCTGTTGGGTTGTGTGAGAGGCAATAAATAAGATATGAGTCCTAAAACACTGTAGATTTAGAGTGTTAAAAGGCTACTTCAGATAATCCGTTCATCCTCATCAGTTATTATTATTTCCCCGACCTCCAAGAAATATAAGTATTTATTTATTTTTATTTATTACTTATTACAGTTTATTCACTTAATATAAATATTTAGACAAATAACTGTGAGATGGCTAGAAGACAGGAGTAGTTTTCTCTCCTAACAGATGTCTTACCAGGCTCTTTTGTCAGTGTTGTTTTACCTTTTATAGCTCTGTAATGCTTAGAGATAGAACAATTCAATTTTGTTTTTGATTTGACTCATTTTGATTTTATATGTGGAAAATGTATCCCTATAATAACCTTCGGTTTTGAGAGGGTGGACTATGCTTGCCTTACATCACCCACAGAGGCTAACTGGTACACGAGCTCTTGATAGTTGCTGCTCAGTTGAAATTTATAATGCAGGAAGTTCATTTTCTGCTTCCAAGTATTGGTTGAGAATTTACCATGCGCAAGGTGCTGTGCTAGCTCCCGACAGTATGCATTCTTGAATTTTATCTTCACCCCAGAGAGGAGATGACAGCAATTTAAGATGCTGAGGATGTGGAGTTGTTTTGTTTTGAAATAATTGTTCCCATGGCAGTAGAATTATTATAAAAGAAATCAATTTTTTTTGTTGCTGTTGAAAATCTTGCCTCTGAAGAAAACAGATTAGAGCTCTAAAGCTTCAATAGAGGGCCCTCACATACGTCCTGCTTGCCACACCTTTCGTCAGATAGAACCATAGTCTTAAATATAAGCTTGGAGAACAGAATTGATTCTGATTTCACATTAGAGCTAGTGTTCGCGCCAGCAGCCAGCTGGCCAGATAGATGTTCTTCACACTGAGAGGCCTAAGCCTTGGCTTTAGTGCTTTTGGCAGGCCCTCGCCAGCCTTGGATCTAACCTAGGTTTTTCCATGAGGGAGCTCAGTGCAGGAGGCCAGTTTCTCTCCCAGTGTTAATGAGTTTAAACGGGTTACTTTCTGGGCATCACATGTTTGGAAACTGTACTTAGTGTTGCCTACGACACTCAGGAGCTACAGGTGCTGTAGCTTGGACATTCCACATAATGAAGCAAAATTGAGCATGTAGTAAAATGTTCATTAAAAAATGTATAATGTTACATTGGTTGAGGTCCAGGCTCTTGGGGAGGTATGCTGACTCTGCCTTTCTAACCGTGGGATCCCGAGTGAGGTCTCTCTCCGTGTGTAGAGCTCATTGCCTAGAACACAGAAAACAGTAAGAGCTGTTGAGAGGATTAGCCATACTGGTTCTTGTAAAACACTGGACACATCAGTGTCTGTTGTTATTATGCCAGTTAATGAGATGATGTTCTAAAATTCCAATAATTGAGCTCAGTAGAACTCTCTTCACTGTCTCCCCACAACAGTTCCCAGTTTCCAGATTACCTGACACTATGTTCTGTTTGTTAACAATTAAAAAAAGAGCCGTGATTTATTTTTGTGAGTGTGATGTCTTGGGGCGGGGGGTGAAAGACTTGTTTCAGGATAGTCTCAGTTTTTGAATATCAGGCCTGCACAGTTATTTTCCCATATATACTGCCACTGCCATTAGCCCAGATATGACTGTTGCTAATTAATCACTTCCACTGAGAACTTAATGAGTGGCTTAATTAGGATCATCCTTGAGTAGCAGGCAGTAGCACCCTGTGCCAGTTCCAAGTCACTGGCTGGCTCTCACTAGCTCCTTGGTTATATGGAAGTTTAGACTGAGGAGGGAAGATACTGCTTTTTTCTGTGTGTCTGTTTGCTCACTTTAAAGAAGGTTAACTGGCATCTGTGATACATTCATGAGGTGTCACACATGTGAAAACAAGCCAGCACAGGCACAGTAAATCCAAGGGGGATGTAAGATTGGTTATTGAATTCTTGTGAATGTGCTAAACAAGCAGGAAATATGTTGTTTGCAAGTGTGGAGAATGAGCCCGTGCATTCCTCACATGACAGGGTATTTCATTTTTCTGCTGAAAGCTAAAGTACTTTCCTTCTGGCACCCTCATTTTGTAATATGTATGTTTTTGAAATATTGCTGCATTGTTACAGAATGAAGCTTGCACTCCATTTTCTTTCTCTTCACACCCTCAGGAAACTGGGAAAATGAGGCAAAAGTAGCATCTTCCTGCCTTGTTTTCCTGTAGTAGAAAGGGAGTTAGGTATGAGAGGCCTGTCACATCACTCCCTAAGACTCCCTCCTACCTTCCAAATAGACTATAGCCTTACAACATGTTAAAGGTGGCTTCTAGTTCATAGAAAGGGAACTTCTTCAGGTTAAGTTCACAGATAAAGGCAGGCATTGTGCAACGGGCCAGCTTTCCCTGAGCATATCTGCCTGTTTTGATTGTCACAGGCTTTTAGATGACTTGGGGAGATGATGAACTTCGTAAATATTTTGTATCCAACAGATAGGCTGCTACTTCCGGGTGAAGCGGAACAGGCTATACCCACCTGTGTTCCTTATGCTCCTTCTGTGGACCTTCCTCTCACCTCTGAGGTGAAGCTGAAGCCTGCCTTGAGAAGAACTCAGAAGCAAGCTGAAGAGGTACTCCCGGCAAGTTCCATTGTGACAGGACCCAGGCTTTGCCCTTTAGAGGAACCTCCATACTTGCATGCTTTTATATTTTTCCTTGGTTTGTGATAATTTAGATTTCAAGTTGTGTATTTGCTCTTACTTCCATCTATCTCTGATTTTTACAGAGCAATGGTGTTTGTATATAGAAACATGTTTTACCACATAGTAGCTTGTATAGGGACCACTCAGTAGATAAAAGGACAGTTTCCTTCTCTCTCTGGTCTGACCTGAGTATTATTTCTGAGTATAATTCTAGTGTGAAATCCATACCTGAAAGGAGGTAGAAGTTTATAACGTGTATTTAAAATTTTGTAGAGAGTTTCTACAGTGAAAACAGGTAGGTCAGTTCATCAGTGATCGAAGGCTCTCACTTGAATCCATTGACCACTGTTTAGTAATTGTTCATATTTAGGCATATGGAAGGCTGGGAAATGTCATGTACCCAGCGTTTTCAAATGGGGCAAATGGAATCTCTACTATAGCTTATTCTCCCTAAAGTATTACTTGAGAGCCATTTTTGCTGTCATTTTTTTAGGTTTTACACACATATAACAAATAAACTGCAGGTGGGACTGGGAAGTAACCTCTTACCGTGTTTAATATAACGGGGTAAACAGGAGCTTGCTAAGGCCTCTTTATTAGTACTTTCTAATACAGTCTCTAGGGTCTCTCTTTGATTTACTTGATCTTTCAGGTGCTCTTGTAACTGCGTATTCTGTTATGGAATCAGCCATTCAATCAGAGGTAACAGACGCTTTTTGTCTTAAATGGTCTTTTTCCTTGCAGTACTTTTGTTTACTGTATTGAAAAGTACAGCCAAGGTGCTTGCAGGCTTGCATGGAACTCCCAAATTGGTTACTAGACAAATCAGTCAGGACAGCCACTTTCCAGTATGCTCTTTGAATTATAGATTATGTTCTCTGAGTTCTAAAAAGCTAAAATTACAGGGTTTCTCCAAGTAGGAATGTGTTTCATTTTAAGCCTTCTTTATATTCTTGGCTAGTTGTGCCCATATACATTACAGGGTCAGCCATTTGACATGGTTGACCAGTACCTCAAGAAATCTAATTACTTTTAAGTCAGTTATAGAATATATATATATATATATATATATATATATATATGGAGAGTAGTAGAAGTTATAAATTAGTTTCAGTTAGTGGTTAAAGAAGCTTATTCTAGAATCTATCTGATGGCCGGTGAGAGTATGATACCCAGGGCCTTGGACATAATAGGCAAGCATTCATTTTCCCCATTTTCTTTTTTTTTTTTTTCTTTTTTTCTTTTTCTTTTTCTTTTTTTATTATTTTTTTCTTTTTAGTTACATTTTGTTAACTCTGTGTCCCAGCTGTATCCCGCTCCCTCATTCCCTCCCCAACCCCACACTCCCTCCCTGGTCTCCTCCCTGCCCCTTTCCAAGTCCACTGATAGAGGAGGACCTCCTCACCTTTCATCTGACCCTGTTTTATCAGGTATCTTCAGGGCTGGCTGCAAAGTCCTCCTCTGTGGCCTAACAGACTGCTCCTCCCCAGGGGGGCGGGGTCAAACATTTTCCCCATTTTCAAAATTTATTTTTGAGACTCTCATGTAATGTATTTTTATTATATTCTTCCCAATTCCTGACTTCTTGTAGATTTATCCCCACCTCCCTAACCTCTCCCCCAGTTTCCCACACATTGTTTTGCTGAACTGCATCTCTGCTGTGTGACGTGTGTTGCGCTTGGAATTGTAATGTAGCTCAGGCTGGCATCTCTTGCCTCAGCCTCCCAGTCAGCAGGATGACAGGTTAATACCACTCAGACCAACTCATAGCTGCATTTTTTTTTTTAAAAAAGGACTGTAAGTGTCCTAACAGAAAATGTGAACATTTTAAAATGTTGGAATCAAATGAATGTGAACAGCTTTTGTGTTGTCAAACTGAAGAGCTATCTTGACTAGTTTGCTGCCCTTGGCTATCCAGGCTGACACTTCCCCCCCCCCCCCCTTTTTTTTTTAAACGTTCTTAATGCTCTCTTTTGTTTGAATTCTGAGCCACAGTCTGAGCCACTATTAAACTTCCAGGGGCTGCCTCTAAAAGTAGCAGGAACTGAACCCTGGACTCTCAGATTCAGGCTCAGGAGCCTTATCAATTGAGCTATCCAAGCCTCAAGCTTACACGGTTTATGTAAGCTTTATTACTTTCCCTTGGCTTTGTTTGCAATCAGGTCTCACTAGGTAGCATGGGTTGGCCTCGGGCGCTAAGATGACTAGTGTCCAGTTGGGAATTTTAGGTCTTACCATTATTAGTTTGAGAGTCGTTTCAGAACTGTGTGGATTCACAAGACTGAGCCAGCTCTGCCTTGGTTTACTACCACAAATCTTATTATTTTTTTATTTTTAATTATACTTTATTTACTCTGTATCCCCCCTCTAGTTCCCTCCCTCCTCCCCTCCCAATCCTTCCCTTCCTCCCTCTTCTCCACACATTCCCCTCCCCAAGTCCACTGGTAGGGGAGGGTTTCTTTTTCTTCCTTCTGATCCTATTCTGTTAGGTCTCATCAGGAGTGGCTGCATTGTCTTCCTCTGTGGCCTGGTAAGGCTGCTCCCCCCTCAGGGGGAGGTGATCAAAGAGCAGGCCAATCAGTTCATGTCCGAAGCATTCCCTATTCCCATAACCAGATAAATCATTAAAAGAATCTAAACATCTTCTTCAGCAAGCAGCTTGTGAGGTACTGTCAAGGAGCCTGTCTAGAGCTGGTAGCTGCTTTTTGCGACTTCAGCCTGAAAGCTGAAGTGTGTTCTGCTAAGAGGTCTGCTTCTGCATAGTTGCCCTTTCAGAGCCCATAGCTCTGTGGTATGGGTTGGGCCTGTTTTGATTCCCCTCTAATTTTATTACTGGGGATGTGTGTGCATCTTCCCTTAAAGAAAGGCAGTTTTCAGACCTCCCACTTCTTATTTGTCAATAAATTATTGCCTTGCTTCCTCTGTTCTGATGAATTGTTTTGGAGGTTTTGAACTGCTTTCTAGAGCCAACTGAATTTATAATATTGAGAGGGAAACTGTGGTTCCCTGAAGAGACAACCATGGAAAAGGTCGGTAGAGAAACTTGAGGTCCTATGTCTTCCATTTCACAATGAGATTTTAAACATTTCCCCACCAACCTAGTTTATTTACCACATCACCGTGTTCTAGCCTGTAGCTAAATGCTACCATTATTGATTTGAACATTAGTTTTGTGTTCCTTAATTTGCCCATGTGGTATTAAGAATAAAAATGGCTCCTTCTTTAGTAGTGTCTCTGTAAGAATCAGTCACATGAGAAATTTTAAGGAAACTCAAAGTTTCCTAATAGTACACAAATACTATTCCCTTAGTGGTCACAAAAAAATTTCAATTAGACTTGAAATTAGACACCTGAAATGCACACATTTCTCTCAGCTCCTTAGGCAAAAATAAGAAGTTAATAACTTAATTCACACTTGTTTTTTGTTTAGCAGCAGGGGATTTGGTGTTGTATAGCAGCGATTCTTCTCTGAAATAAACCAGAATTTCAATTTGTAGTCGAAACTTTGGAGCCATATAGCTTAAGATCCAGAAATAAACATAACTTGAAAGAAGAAAGTTTCCAGGTTGCTACAGCAGTCAACAGCTGGACCGTGGAATAGGCGTGCACCCTCCCTGTGTTTGAAGAGGTATCATTTGGAAGGGCACAGTGATGTTTTCTGAATGGCATGGCACACCTCAATTCACTTAGTATTGCATATCCCTGCCTTGTCACTCACTCCTGTGTGTCTCTATAAGCTTATTTTACTGTAACATGAAGTGTCAGAATGAGCTCAGAATCAAGCATAGACATGCAATAAATATTTACTGAATAGACAAACCAGTTCTTACTAACTGGGAGCGAGTCTGAGATGCAGTCACAAGGTCTGGATGATGAGGTGGTCATGGTCTGGATATGATCTGTTCCCCACAGGCTCAAGCCTTTGTATGTGTCGTCCCCAGCTGGTGGCGCTATCTTGGGGGACTTGGGGAACTTTTTAAGGTTGGGCTCTAGCGGGATGAAGTAAGTTATTGGAGGCTGTGTAGTCCAGCCTCACTGTCTGTCCTCTGTCTGCTTCCTGCTCTGTGTGGACAGAAACACACAGCTGCAACATGCCCCTACATGATGCCCCACAAGAGCTGGCTGGCCTTTCCTTTCTGTGCTTCCTTTCTCCCTCTGGAATGGGCTTGTTTACTCTGGCACTGCTGAAGTGTGCAGCGTCCCTGATTTCACAGAGGCTCGTGGTGTAGAAATGGTCTGGGTCTCGGAACAGACTCTGCACCTGCAATCTGAATAGTTGCCAAACTGCTAAAGACTAAGGGACCATAGCAGTTGGACTGGATTCGCTGTACATTATGAAACATGAGCCTTTGGGGCCAGGAAGGAAATGTCCTGGTGTGAATGTGAAAGGCCTGCATAGACCAAGTCTGAAGACTTGGTCATTATCAAGTGACACTGTTTGGGAAGGGTAAGAGGAAGTGTGGTAACTGGCGGTGGGCCTCAAGGTTTTATAGCTTGTCCTACATCCTGTCCTTGCTATACTTCCTAGTCCATGTACATGTAAGGAAGTGCTGCTTACATGCTCCCAGCACGAGTGGTGCCACCTGCTCCCATGCCTGCCCACCATGAGAGGCTGCACCCCCCTCAAAATCTGAGCCAAAATACAAGTCTCACCCTTTGTGGGGCTCTGCAGGATAAGGTTGAAGTCTGACTCTCCAGATAGCCATTTAATTGTGCTTGCTCTATGATGATGAACTCCCTTTTCTCAGTAGGGTTCTGAAAGTCTCCCCTGATCTCAGTTGACCCCACATATTATAAGGAGCATCACATGGCCCTCAGGGAAGATTACATACCAGACCCTTTCCTGATAAGGAAACTGGTTCAGCTAGCTAGGTATTCCTAGAAATATCTCACCCTTAGTCTTAGTCTTAGATCTTAGTCTTCAGCAGTGACCTTGAACTGTACTTGGAGATTTCCCCCTCACCCCTAGGAAAATTGAATACCGTGTTCTCCTTCTTGTGATAGGACCAAGCTACTACATGGAAAATTGAGACACTGTACCATTACAGTGTCCCTAGCTCCCAATCCCAGTGAATCAAACACATTCACCCTCAAGATCCTCCCCACTGCCCCAGGTTTATCTATCCCTGCTTTCAAACAAAGGTATTGCTGGGGTTGTGTGCTGTGATACCATCAGCCTTCTCTCATGGCCCCCTAAGATTCATCATTTCGTCATTTATCCCTTACTGGGCCTTGTCTCACCAGGCCTGCCCGCTGGCCCACCAGACCTGGGCCTTGCTAGGCCTGTGTCTCGGCTGCAAGCCACCAGGCATGGGCTTCCACCATGCCATACGCAGCACAGCAGCTTAACCAAGAGCTGTAACACTTTGGTAACACCATAATAAGCTTTGGAACACCCAAGTTTCCACTGCCATTGGTCACTCCATGGAAAATCTTTTCCACATCTAGCTTAGCAAATGGGCCTTCCTCTAAAGTGCTCTAGCTGCCCCTGAGAGAGACGGAACACTAATAACTGTCCAGAAGCAGAGTTCCAGGCCCCCGCCTGGATAGCTTCTGTCAGGCATTTCCTCGCAGCATCCAGAATGTAACACTAACGCAGTGCTCTTGTCTCTTTTCTCCTCTCTTGACTTCTTTCCCACAGTATGTCACACCATTCAAATCTCTACCCCCACCCTTGATAAAAAGGGGACAAGAGACGGAAAATAGTCTTCCCTTTCCCTTGGACCTTTCTTTGGCCATGATCGGTGTCTGTCTTTTTGCACTCACATTCATTAGTTGAATTCCTTTACCCTCTAGTTATAGAAACCAAGTTCTTAGAGCCTCTGCTTCCTCTCCTCTTATTCCTCTTTTCAGTGAACTGCTATCTTGACCTTGGTTGCCTGAAAGTGTTCAGGATGAAGGTACCAGTTATAGCTCAGGGGCCCAATCCAGTGTTTCCCTTTCTGTACTTACGGGGCATGGGGATCTGTGCCTGGACTCTGTGAGAGCCTTTGCCTTGCCTTACTGGCTCTCACACATCTTCTAGTGTGTGTATGTTTCTGTAATTGTACCTCGAACCTTCCTTTGCAGGACTTTGTCTACCCACTCCTGAGAAGTCAGTGTTCCCCAGAGATCCGTCCACATACCTTGTCACTCTTCCCTCCCTGAGTGCTTGAGTCAAATTTCATTTTAAATTATGTCCCTAAATGGGCATGTCTAGCTTCAGACCTTTTCCCCTCGAGCTTCAGGCCTTTACTCCTTGGATTCCCACAAGAAGACCAAGCTGCACAAGCATAACATATGTGCAGAGGGCCTCTGCCAGCCCCATGCAGGCTTCCTGGTTGTTGGTTCAGTCTCTGTGAGCCCCTGTGAGCCCTAGTGAGTTGATTCTGCAGGTTTTCTTGTGGTGTCCTTGACCTCTCTGGCTCCTAACATTCTTCCTCCCCCTCTTCCACATGATGGCCCAAGCTCTGCTTAATATTTAGCCGTGGCTCTGTGCCTCTGTTTCCATCAGTTGTTAGCTGAAGCCTCTCTGATGACTGTTGGGCTAGGAGCTAAACTATGAGTATAGCAAAAACTCTTTTTTTTTTTTTTTTTGATTGTTGTGTTTGGTTCTATCGTAGGTCTCTGGGCTATGTAGCCTCTGGGTCCTAGCCCTCCAGGCAGTGTCAGGGGTGGGAGGGAGATAGAAATGTGTTATCTACAAAAAGTAGGAAGAACATGGTATGTTATGGAGGAGCTTTTCATATCCAAGGACTTGTTTAATTTAAAGTGATAGGCCAGCCTCACTGGGAGGTGGGTGAAGGCCAATTGTCTGCATGTGGTGAGAGTGGGTGGTTCAGAGGCTCAGGGTGAGATCCTGAATCCTAGTGCAGGATATGAGGTAACTGCAGCGTGGTCACTTGCTTTTAGATAAGGGCATAAAGAGCTTAATTTCCCCCCTCCCCACACTGAGACCAAATACACCCATAGAGATAGAGTTTCCTCCATATCTCAGCCAGGATCAGTGAGAATCGGGTGTCTGCCTAGTTAGTTATGATGGACTATGCCCTGGTCTGTAGGGCTCAGTAATTCTTCACAGAGTGGGAGGTGGCTTGGACACTTGCATTCTGGACATCAAGTGTTACTGTGTGTACACATTTCTTCATTGGATAGTGTCCTCTGTTACTTTGTGGTGAAGAAAAATTTAATTACAGGAAATGATCATGGCACATCAGTCACTTTCCTGTGCACACCAATATGCTTCCTACATGCAGGTACCATTCTAAAAACAGTCATGACTGTTCACATGGCCCTGAGTACAATTTCAGTGGTGTCTGTGGGAAATGTACAGCTGATTCAGAAAAGGCCTCTTCTCCCAAAGAGCTAGGGATTGGTTGATTTTGCTTGTGTTTTTGAACAAATATGACTTTATTTAAAGCAGATTGTTCTGGGTTCAAATGTGGCTTCTCTTCTTTGGTAGCCTTGGGCAAGTTCTGGAGCCTTTCAATGCTTCATGATTGGGAGGCAGTAGTGGGTATCAGCAGGGCTGATGGAAGCTGCTATTGATACCCCATGGTTCCTGATACTAGGGCAGGCCAGTGATGGGGAATCTCAGTGACAGCTCTTACTTTTCCTCATCATGAACACAGAGGAGAGGACCAGGCCTCTGGAACTTGTTGGATCATAGCAGCTGACTCTACTGCCACAGGGCAGTGAGTGGCTGGGAGTCTGCTATTGGCATGGCACATCTCTGCATTTCTGATGCTCTTTTCACTGTGGTAGCAGCACAGAGTTTCTGAGCAGTGTGTTCTACTTTCACATATGCTGCAGAAGCTACTCGGGAGATCATCTTCCATGCAAGAATATTTAAAGCTGACACTAGCTAGCTTCAGGGCATTTCTCATTTTTGCATAAGCCAGTTTTCAATTATGTCTGCACCACCATACATGAGTTGTTGGAGGTGCTGGGTGATTTCACTATATCACATACCATTGGATTTGGGTGGTATTTTTCAGGGGGGTGAATTAATGAGATTTAAGGCATTCTTTTCTGTCTACTGGAACACATACTCTTTTGAAACAAACAAAGACAAGCAAAAATCCAAGCTGCTTTTTACCCATGCTGGGGACCAAACATAGTGTCATGCGTCTGCCAGGCAAGCACTCTAGCTGAGCTACACCCTCAGTGCTGGGAAATGTGCTTTGGGTAGCTCTGCCTTTAGACACTCTTTAAAACTCATGAATGTGTATAAACATGTATAAAACTATTACCTTTCTTTGCAGCTAGTCTGACTTACAGAAAGACAAAAAAAGGGGGGGGGAATTCTGGACCTTTAAATTTGATCATACATGTTTTAATACCTCCTGTTATTGGACAAAGGTTATGGGTATTATTTCAAGTGTAGTAAATGTAATATCCTTTTGATTTCATTTTTAATGATTACTTCATTAACAGGAATTTTTAGCAAATGGTGAAAAGGTTTGTCAAGATCTTAAGGTATAGTTCTTGTAGTTTACTAGAGCATCTAGCTTTTCCTTATGTCTTGATCTCTGACACTACAGTGTGGCAAAGAATGAAATGCATGTGTGCAAAGCAGACCTGATTCTTGCCTTCAGGGCAGAATTAGTTAATGATACTCATTCAGTTATAGCATGGTACAAATGGAGCATATTAAGAGACTTAAATTAGGTCATATTGAATAATTGAATTTATTTCTTTACTTAAAAACAGCTTAATCAGCTCAGAGTGCCAAAAGTCTAAAAAAAGTTTCATTAACTATTAATAGGCTGTTTATGTTTCAACCTAACTTCAATGATTGTGTGCTTCTTTCTTCCTTTTGTACCTTTTATAGATAGTTGGAGATGAAGTTCAGCCCTTCTTTCTCGATGAAGAATTTGATTATGACAATGTGACTCTCACTCCTAAGTTTACTGCTGGAGACATAGGAACCATCCAAGAGCTGTCCAAGCAAAAGAGAATGGATACCAGTGCAGACTTATGCGAACCCCCTGACTGAGTCAGCAGATGTCTTTGTGTTTAATTGTACTTTGTTCATACTCAGGAAGGATTAGAATAAAGCATGTGCCAACTGATTTCCTTTGTGGAAATTTGCATACCCACATTCATTTGTCACTGTTGTTTTTCACCAGGACACAGAGTAAACAAGACTGAAGAGATCACTTCTATTTCTGAATTGTCTTTGTTGTGTTGTGTTATATGACTGGTTGGGAAGAGGGGAGAGTGCTGTGGGGGTAGGAAATAAGGGCTGCTGAATCCTCGGGGCACTTGTGTGTTGTACTGAAGACTAGGAATATGAGCCCATCGTATTAGAGGCGAAGGACAGTCACACATTCCAAACAGTATTATAATTAATAGAATCACTTCTATATGTAGGTCTTCAGCCCCAAGCATCCAGAGATGATGCTATCAGTGTGACTGTGGAGAGCTTAATATTCACTGTAAAGGAAAACACTGAAGAACTGTCACACATGGAATTCTGGGATTAAAAAATTTACCATTGAGCTATGTGTGATCGTTACAAAGTACGGTGAATAGTCTCTGTCTCCAGAAGTTTAGGCTTGGAAAAGCAGAACTTGATGTAATATGCTATCATGGGCTCTGATAAACTTGAGAGAGCTCTGTAAAGGTACTTGCCGGGCAAACCTGATGACTTTAGTCCCTGGAACCATGTATATGTAGAAGGAGAGAAATGACTCCATAAAGCTGTCCTCTGACCTCCATGTGGGTGCAAGCGCATGCACACCCAGACTCACCCTTCTTCCACTAATGATAAATGAAAAATTTAAAAATGTATCTTGGAGTAATAATTATGCCAACTACTCATAAGGTCACTGGGCAATGAGTAGAGAGGGATGAAGGTGCTGAAGAAGGAAAGGTAAGATGGGTGATATGTACGAAACATTTATTATTGAACAAATCAGTAACAAATGCACTTGGTATTCGTTTCTCTTTAAGTAGACCTTCCATTTTAGCATAGTTGTGAGAAGTGTAGTTGCCATGCATTCCCTTTCTCTGGTCCCCCGTGGTTAACACCACACACCACAGAGTATGTTTGTTGCTGCTTGGGTTTGGGTCTTTGTTATTGCTGTCCTTTTTCTTCAACTGTGGTAAGAACAGTTTACATGAGAGCCACCATCTTCAAGTCTTGGGTACACAGTTCAATATTATAAAGCATCTACACAATATTGTGGCAGATCTCTAGGGTTTACCTACATGCTACTGAAGCCACACACGCTTCTCCATGGCTTCTGCTTCAGAGTGTGACTGTCAGAGATAAGCCATAGACATGGACATGACATCTCTGCCCTTTAGTGACTCACTTATTTCATATATATATAGTATTCTCTGGGTTCATTCACACGGTCACTGGCAGGACTTACTCTTTTTTAAAGGCTGAATAGTACATATGTACATATATACATTATGTACATATACCACTCTTTTTATTCATCAGCCAGAATGCTTAAGTTGTTTCTGTTCTTGTGAGACAAGCTGTGGTTTGTGTTTGTGTATGTATGAGGAGTTGTGTGTGCATATATTCATAAAAGTGTTTACGGTTTGTACATAAGAATTCTCTCAATTTCATCTTGCAGAAGGTTCAAATGATTTGCATATTTATTTTTATTGATTCAACAAATTCTCAGCATTTTTGACTCAGGCTTTATTTACACTAGGCAATGGGGAAGATCTAAGCAATTTAGACAAGGTCTTTTAGTGAGGGAGCGAGATAAATACACAAACAATCACAGCAGAGCTGCAGTGCCCAGTATGAGAACCACTGTCTGCATTCTAGCGTGTGGAGGACTTGAGATGCAGTCATTGGGACCAAGGAACTGAGTTTTGTTACTTGATGTCTATTCCACTGTAAAATGAAGAACACATTTAACTCAGCTATCAGATAGCATTCAAGTAGATTTAGAACAACTTTAGAATGTGAATCTCCTTTTTCAGATGTACGTTTTGTAAACTGAAATGTTGGATTCGTGATCATGTAGCTACTTATATGAATCAGAAATTATTTTTTATGACAACATAGTGTCTTAATTTAGAATATTCTCTGTATGTAAGATACATTGGGGTTTGATGAATTAATGTGAAAGATACATCATTTTGCATTATGGGCTTAAGCGACTTGGATTACCTGTCTAAATGAAATATATTATCAAGAGTTATTATATTCTTTTTGCCTATTACATGAGGATACCAGGAAACTTAAAATCCTACAAATCACGGGCATGCTTCTTTCAGTGATATGTAGCATATGTTACCTGTGTCATGAGCGTGTTGTACCAGGGGGTACTGGAGCAAAACAAGTTGAAGGCATAAATGCGTGGGAAGCAGTTTGTTTTATTTTATTTTGCTTCGGTCAATCCCTAGCAATAACTTCAGGTTTGTTTTGGTTTACAGTTCAGAGACGTGCAGCCTGTCGTGGTTTGGAAGGCATGACAGCAGGGGTGTCTTACTCCATCATGCCGGCCAGGAAGCAAAGAAGGGAAAGCCGGTGCTCAGCTGGCTTTCCCCTGTTTTTCTATTCAGTCTGGGACTCCAGCCATGGGGTGCTGCTGCTCACACTTAGGATTTGCACTACATATTTCTTAGTCCAATCAAGCTGGCAATTGAAATTAACCACCATGGGAAGCTAGGGAATCCTCACAGAGGAGACAACATTTGAGTTTAGTTATGAATCAGTAGGAGGTATTTTTTTTTAAATATTTTTGAGTCTATGTGAGTTTCTCATCTCCCTGTTCTCTCATATCTGCCCTTTGCCCTTGCAACTCCCCCCAAAATAAAACATAAAAGCAAGCTAACAACAAACAAACAAACAAAAAAAGCAAGGCAAAGAAAACATCTCCTCATGAAGTTGTAGTATGTCACAGTGTGTCCCAGAGTATATCCCTCTGTCCATACATCTTCACTTGCAAATGTTGATTTCAGAGTCATTGGTCTGGTTCGAGATCTGTAACTTCTGTGACACTATCAATATTGTATTTTCACTGAGATTTCTCCTCGTATCCTGTTGCTTGTGTCATGGAGATCCTGCAGCAGGAATAGCAGGACTGGCCCTTTCACACGCCCCAACCATTCACAGATATAGATTTGGGGTGAGCCAATTCAGAGCCCTGAATCTGTGCCTGGGTGGTAGCTGAGCTGGTCAGCACATTGGCGCTCCCTTATCTGCACCACCAGGGCAAGCTCTCCATCACTGCTCTGGCTAGGCCACCCAATGCTGCCATTGGCAGGAGGCAGGGTCTGCTCTCCTGTTCTCATGCCATTGGGGCCACCTCACCCACACCCATGCCTCCAGAGCCAGCTTCTCTGTGCTTTCCAGTCAAAATTCAGGGCCCACTCTCCCAAATGCTGCAGCCTGTGAGGAGCTGGGCCAGCTCCACTATACTGCCCAGGTGAGGTGTAGGGCTCTTTCTCCTGAGCTCTACAGCCAGTGAGGGGGCAGGGCTAGCTCTCCCACTCTGCCTCTCAGGACCCCAGGGTGAGGTCTCCTAGCTACTGCAGGTGGTGAGGGAGTGAGGTGAGGGGAAGGGCATCTTTCCGACATTCATGCCACCTCATGCCGGATGAGTATCAGGGACAGCTCTCCAGTGTTCTTGAACTTGGGGCTATCTTACCTGTGTCTCCACTAGTGGCGGCTCTACGCTGCTGCCTCTGGTGAGGTGCATGGCGTGCTCTCCCTAGTGCTGTAGCTGGTGAGGGGCAAGGGGGTCAAGGCATCACCCCCCCACACACACACACATCATGCCACCACGTGGCAGATGTGTGGCAGGGCTAGCTTCCTCAAGCTCTTGCCTTCAGAGCTGGCTCACCTCTGGCCCCTGCCGACAGGGCCAGCTCTGCTGTGGTGTTCAGGTGAGGTGCAGAGCCTTCTCTTCCAAGTGGTGAAGCTGGTGAAGAACGGGGCTAGCTCTCCTGAGTTCATGACCCTGAGGGCAGCTTTCCCAACTTCCAGAGGTGGTGAGGGGCTGGGAGAGGGCATCACCTCCGTGCCTATGCCGTCCCATGGCAGACAAGTGGTAGGGCCAGCTCTCCCACACTCATGCTCTTGGGGTTGGCTCACCCACACTTGCCACCAAGCACCAGCTCCACTGTGCTGCTTAGGTGAGGCACAGGGCCTGCTCTCCCAAGTACTTCTGCTGGTGAGAGATGGGGCCAGCTCTCCTGCTGCATCCAGTGAGGGGCAGAATTAGTTATGCATAGCCCCTGGGCAGCCACATGGGTCCCCAGCAGCTGCCCCAAACAGGGACATCCCTATGTTCTCTAATGGTAATATGACACCAGCTCCTGCTGTTGCATAGCCAGGGACTCAGACATGACTCACAGTGACACTTTGGTCTGGGACCTCACCATGGACCCAGGTGGTGGGGCCAGTTACTCACAGCAGGCTATTCCTCTCCACCCTAGAGTCTCCAGTTCAATATCTCTTCATGATGCTCCAGCTGCTCCACTCCTCTAGCACATACTCACACATTGTGGTGGCTCCCTCTGCAGGCTGGCCACGAAGCTGGCAGGCCTCCAGGTGACATCTTCCATCTATGCTCTGTACTGTAGCAGCAAGCTGGTGTTTGTGGCCCACCTGTGCCATGCACTGGAGGGCTGGTCTGTGGTGGCATAGAGGTCTGCAGGTCTCTGTTTTCCTCCTGTTGTGCTGCACTGTATGGATTTGATTTGATTTGATTTTTATGAGTCCTAGGCATAAGACAGCTTTGGCCATCAAGCCAGACATCAAGCTAGAATGAACAAAGGACTGCCATCTGCTCTGCCTCAATTGATATAAGAATGACACCACCAGCAAGGTGTCTCTTTGCCCATTGCCAGGGGTGCAGTAGAAGGTTTTGAGCCAGTCACAAAGGAGGACGTTAGAGTTGGAAGAGCATGCTTTCTCCTTATGGTTCCGAGAATGACTTATGATAGTTGTATCTTCAGTTTCAAATGAGTGAGTTTATTAAGTGTGTAGCAAGTCAAAGTAAAAGAGTAATTATCTAATAGCATATAGATATCAAAATACATCAAATCATGTAGTCATGACCTCTAGTCGAGACTGGGAACACTAAGGATGTTGGAGTTCCCATCTAAGCTTTCTCTCCATGGCTCAGCATCTTATGGCTGAATCTCCAGTTTCTCTTTCCCACTTCAGGTACTTTTGTATCACAAAATGAGCAATAATAACCTCTCTTGGAAAGGATTTACCTCTCAGCTGTTTTCAACAACACAGTGTTTATACTTTGGGGCTGTTTTGCTGTCTTCTGGTCTTTGCTAGAGGTTGTGAGCACCCAAGCTGATGTTACCTTTCTGTTGAGGTTCTATTCAGAAAGTTTATGTTTATCCTGAAGTGTTTACTTAGTTGTTTTCTTCCAAGACTTTCAGTGCTTTGGGTTGTAAATTAAGGTCCTTGGTCCATTTAGCATTGTTCAGGAACAGAGATATAACTTTGATTTCGCTCTTCTACATAGGGCATTGTAGGTTTGCTGACATCATGTATTGGATACGCTGTCTCTTTTTCTAAAGTTCTTAACACCTGTGTCACCAATTTGGTGTGTATGCTGTGTGGGTTCATTTTAGGGTCTTCCATTGTATTCCATCAGTCTATTTCTTTTTGTGCCAATACCATACTGTTTGTTACTAGGACTATGTCTGTAGTTCGAAGTCAGGTATTGTGTTATCTGTGGCCATGTTCTTTTGTCTTTAGGATTTCTTTGGCTCCCATGTTCTCATACAAATTTTAGGAGGTTTGGGGTTTCTGTTGTTATTCTGTGAAGAATGTTTACTGGAGTTTTGGCACCAAACCTAAAACTTTTAGCCTATAAAATTGACTAATGAACTACACTGACATTTTTAAAGAAAAATATGAATGGCCATCACATATTTTTAATATTTTCCCTATTCTTAGGCATCAACAGAATGCAAATTAGAACTACAGTGAATTTCTATCTCATTCTAGGCAAAATGGCTTCCACTAGAAACTGAATACAACAAAGACTGGTGTGTATGCGGGGAAAGAAATCTTTATTCACTGTTGATGGATCTAAACTAGTATAATCACTATGGAAATCAGCATGGAGGCCTTTCAAAAAACTAAACGTAGAACTGCCTATGATCTAGCTATACCATCCTTGGTTAAAATATTCAAAGGACTATGAATTCTACCATGAGATATTTGTACAGCCATGTTTGTTGGTCATGAGTCAGTAGAAGCCTTTAAGTCAGGGATGTGGGAGGTTGTTAGGTTTGAAAGTGTGTAAAAGACATAATGATAAATGACAAACAATTGTTGAGAGCAGAGAATGAGGAAAGCTGATGTTCACCTGGCTTTGTCCTTTTGCTCTTTCTGTTCAGTTTGGGACTCCAGACTATGAGTTGTTTACTATAGAAAATATATAGAATCAGCCTAGATGACCATCAACAGATAATGAAAATATGGCCCATAGATACAGTGGAATGTTATTCAGCAATAAAAACTGAAATCAAGGAATTTGTAGGAAAACAGACTGAACTCAAAAATATTATGTTGAGTGTTTTGACCCAGATTCAGACAAAGAACATATTTCCTCTCATGTTTGGATCCTAGCTTTTACTTTCTCCATATGTGTATTCACATAGGAGAGAGTGTGAGCTATCAGGAAACTGGAAATGAGCCCATAAGGTAGAAAAAAGAGGAAGGAGTGTGGGGAGGATAATAGACATGGGACATGAAAGTGGAAGAGAGGTACTTGGAATAGAAGGGTAAAAGTGAGGATGGGCCTTAGGGAGATGGGAGGGAAAAGTATATTGGGCACGGGGTCAACCATGACTATGTATGAAGATATCAAAAAGAAACCTGTTATTTTGTATTTTAATTTTAAAAAGAATGGGTGGGATCACTCACGGGAAGAAGTTAGAAATACAGGTCATGTCTGTCCTGAAGGCTGAGTGCTGTAGGTTCTATTCTCTAGTTGATGGGAAGCTAGTTAAGGTTTTTAATTAGAGGGGTGATGGCATCCAAAGTGTATTTCAGAACGACCCGAGTATGTGGAGGGTAAAGTGAGCAGGGCGACGTTAAATTTGGGAGACAAGTTTGTCAGCTGTGAAAATCTGGTGTGAGGTAGGGCTTGGGCTGAGGTGATATGGGGTAGTGGAGGGGTGGATTTAGTTAGAGATGTTGGAGAAGAACGCCGACAACTGCGAACTGCAGCATCATGGGAGCAAGGGGAATTCCTGAAGGCTCTGAGAGGGATGCAGTCCACGCACGTGCTGACAAGACAGCCTCCCAGCGCAATTATTTACGGGGTTAGAGACTCTGGGCTCGGTGTAAGAAAATGGCACCATCTTAAAGATATTCCCCTTTTATGGACTCGGTTTTGCAATAAAAAGCTGTAAGCGGTATTCAAAATACATTTCATAGCATGTTCATTGTTTACCCAGGCGGGAAAGGTGGCGGGTCGATGTGTCTGAGAAGCAGCCTATCTGCTGATCTATGCCATGTGTTCACAGTTTTGATGCCTGCACTATTTGGGGACAGTTGTGCAGCACGGCTAAAATGACATCAGAAAATGAGTCCTTTCAGTCCTGAGTTGGGCTGAACTGTTTTGTCTGTGCTGTACCGTTCCTCTCTGCCTAACCAGCAGCTGCTTCTCCATGATTGCCTTACAGCAATCCCTTGACCTGACAGAAAGGATGTTTTACACGGGCTTGTGAGCCTTAACCTTAACCGATGAGGCTGTTTGAATTACCTGGATGAGGTAGCAGTAACAGAAGTATGATGAATAGTATACAGAACCAAGGGGAAGCATGTGCGGGGTGGGGGGGCATGAAATTGAGAATAAGGAAGGCTAAACATTTTAAAGTGTCCTGACAAAATGGGATCATTGCAACCCAAACTAACTTGTAATAAACTAAGGGGTGGCATGCCCGTCCTGGCTCGTACGTGTTCTGACACATGGTGATCTTACTTTGTACTTTCAGGGTCCAGCTTGGGTGGCAAGACATGTGATGGAAAGTCATTTATCTCTGAATCACAAGCTTTGGGATTTCCTTGTCAGGGATGCTCTTTTCTCTTCTCACAAACGAGATACAGCAGACTCCTCACATGGAACAGGAACATTTTCCCATGTGCTAACTATATGATTGAATGAAAACGTGAAAAAGACAGTTTAAGAAAAATTAATAATTTCCTTTCATTATTTCTTAGAAGTTGATGGTAAGTACGTATGTATAGCGGCATGAAAAATGGTATGAAAGAGTCTTTATACCACATTTACATATTTACTTTGTGTGGTGAGCGGGCCAGGGGGCCTGGTGAGTGCATGTAATGGCACACATGTGGAGATCAGAGGACAACTTGCAGGAGCCAGTTCTCTCCTTTTACCATGTGAGGCCTGGAGAGCAAACTAAGGTTGCCAGCCTTGGTGGCAATTGCCTTACCATTGAGCCATCTCAGAGGGCCTATGAGACAGTCTGAGAATATTCTAGAAAACGCGCTTCTCCATTGTAGGTGAGATAGACGACTCTACGCAGCAGCTGAGCCAGCCTTGATAAATCAGGCTCCCACTTGCCACCCCCGTCTCATAGCACCCTCTTCATTTCTGCTCTGTTCTAAATGGTGTGAACATGTTTTTCAAACAGTTGTTTTTTTGTTTCAGCACCTTGGCTCCATTCTCCCCTGTGTCTGGACTGCTCCAGTCATTATGTGGCTGGAGCCTTTATCAGTTGGGCCTCAGGTGGCAGGTGCCTTTGCTGAGCCCCTGTCAGCCCTGTCTAAAGTTCCCAACCTCTGTCTTTGTCCCTGTGTACTTTATCACCTGACATGTCTCTTTTCTTCTCTGACTTTAGAATTAAATACACATTGGGCACAGTCTCAGATTGGACTATTTTTTTTTTAATTTTTTTATTATTTATACAGTGTTCTGCCTGCATGTGTGCCTGTAGGGCAGAAGAGGGCACAAGATCTCATTGTAGATAGTTATAAGCTACCATGTGGTTGCTGGGAATCGAACTCAGGACCTCTGGAAGAACAGCCAGTGCTCTTAACCTCTGAGCCATCTCTCCAGCCCTCAGACTGGACTATTAAAAGTGTGAACTCGGTCTGTCTTTTCATGGTTTTTCTGTCTTTGCATAAAAAAAAATCCAAAGTAAAACAGGTGTTGTATAAATAGCTATTGTATAAAGATCTATTGTATAACTTAAAATTATAAGCATGAAAATTTGGAGTGTATGTCACAAATTCTGGCTAGATGTTTATTGAGCACCTTTTACATTCAAGGTACAGGTTGTGTGTTTCTTCCTGGAATGGTGATAGTGTGATGGTCAGTAGAAAGCCCGAGACACCTCATTGGGTACAGCTGTCTCATGCCCAGCATGTCCTTTCTTTTCTTCAGCGTGCCCTTTTGGAGAATGTTACTCATTTTTCAATTTCTATGTTGAGTCCTTATGATTTCTTGTATTAAGATTCTCACTTTGGAGCTGGGAATTAAGAGCACTGGCTGCTTTACAGAGGTCCTGCTTTTGATTCCTATCATCCACATGGCTGCTTATAACTGCCTGTAACCCTGGTTCCAGGATACCCAATGCCACTTTTGGTTTCCATGGGCACTATGTACAGACAATCAGGCACATGCATATAACATAAATAAAAAGTAAAAACAAATCCCACTTAGGGACAATTCATGAGATACAAAGACAATATCCCTAGTATTCTGCACTCCAAGAGTGTAATGAAAAGAAGGCTTAAAGATTGAGGTAGGAAGAAGATGATTTCATGTTAGCTGACTAAAGCAGGATGCTTTGTGCATTAGTTCAGACACACTCATACTTACAAGAGTTTTCAACTTGAGAGGCAGGCTTAAAG